AAAAGTTTATATACACATTAGTTCGATCTCGTTTAGTAGCGGAGCTACGGGGGGTCAAAGTTTAATTATTTTTTTCTATCAATTGAAATATCTCGCTTACTTTTCAAGATATGATTTTGAAATTTGATGTGGTCAATACTTCCTAGAAGATCATTATTTCAAGCATTTTGAAGATTTTCAAAATCTACAGGGTAATACGTTTTTGGAAGTAGAGGCTTCTTTATCCCCTCCAAACTTCTTCGTCGTACGCCTCTGGCATCTTTCAGTGATCAAATTGTGTAGATCTTTCAATTTAAAGGCTTTTTTTGCTTCTCAATTTTTGTCGAGAAACGAACCGTTTTTGAGATAAATTTATAAGCACATACGGTCTAAAACATGTTAATTTTGCCTATGTTTTGCTTAAATATTTTATTCTTTGACAAAATTCGTTGAAAATGCAATGGAATGTGCTCACTAAAATTGAAATCACGACTCCAATCTGGATCAATAACGTGCGTAAAAACATTGCAATCTTAGGACATTTTGTTGCATTTTCAACGAATTTTGTCAAAGAATACAATTTAAGCGAAACATAAGCAAAATTAACATGTTTTCGAACGTATATGCTCATTTATCTCAAAAACAGTTCGTTTCTCGAAAAAAATTGAGAAGCAAAAAAAGCCTCTAAATTGAACGATCCACACAATTTGATCGCTGAAAGATGACAGAGGCGTACTACGAAAAAATTTGAAGGGGACAAAGAAGCCTTTACCTCCAAAAATGTATCACCCTGTAGATTTTGAAAATCTTTAAAATGCTTGAAATGATGATCTTCTAGGAAGTATTGACCACACCAAATTTCAAAATGATATCTTGAAAAGTAAGCGAGATATTTCAATTAATAGAAAAAATAATTAAACTTTGACCCCCTGTAGCTCCGCCACTGAACGAGATCGGACTAATGTTTGTATGAACTTTTTTGATTAAAATGATGAGATCTATCTCCCATTCCAGTTTGTGCCATAAAACCTGAATCACCCTGTATAGGTACTGTAGAAATACAAGCAATAAATGGACTTTCATAAACACATATAGTCATGTACTTGTTCAAAACAATAAACTTGATGATGGTGACCAAGAGAAGAAACGTCGCATTGACAATAATTTGATCTTATGTAGCCTTTTAGATGATAAGAACTGGCCAATGAGAATGCAGATATGGTTATATTATAGTAGTGGAGGCAAAACGAACCCAAAATGATAGATTTTCGGATTTTGCTTTGAGAAACAGTTTCCCACATTATATGAACGGAAAATCGAATCACCTCGATTACGATTAGCCATTGTTCAGAATTTGCAATTCAAATGTCCATCGATGATAATTACGCAAACCTTACAAAACACGAAACTAAAAATAAAAGCGTGCCCAGCGACGTGTGACATGATGATGCCTTGATCGAGCTAGTTTTTTAAAAAAAATAGAATATATCGAAACTGAAGAATAAATTGCCTAGACAAACGCATGTACTAATAACAATCACATATATTTTTTCAACTGTTAACGTATTAACCTGGATTAGGTAATAAAAACTTTCGGATTCGGCCGGCCGTAACTGATGATTTTTAATTGCAAAATTTCGTTTAATAACTTCATACACACGAAAGAGTGATATCCATCTCTTTGTCCGTACACTTAGCACTATTTACGAAATTCAAAACTGTTGGGTGCAACCGTGAAAATTGCAAGAGGAAGGAGAAATAGGTCATCAAGTATTTTCGTATTCAAAAAGTTGGAAAATACACTGCTGTCGACTATATCTATATATTTGATAATATGATGCAACAATTTTTGAAGAATTCACCCTTTTGTGCTTAGCAATACTCTCGTAACTCATAATATACAGGGTGATTCGTTACTAAATGTAAATATTTTGAAGACGTATTGTTGGGATCAAAATAAGACTTGTTCTTTATATGATCATTTGTTCAAAACCCCCTCCAAGCTACTTACAGCCACCGTAAGCTGGGTAAATAAAAAAAATATTTTGAAATTGTGACTAAAATAACGGATCAAATCTTCTGGAAATTGGTAGGCACCAGTACTTTTAGACACTGTATTTCATTCTTTCTCCAAAAATTTGGTGAACCCAGTTTTGGGAGAAGGGAGAGGGGTCCTCACTTTTATTGACTGAAATGTGGTGCATTTCAGGACACATGTATATATGGAGAGAAAGTCGCGGAAAAAGTCTTATTTTCATCCCAACAAAACGTCCTTAAGATATACTTACGTAAAATTTTGAATCCCCTTATATATAATCCTGAACTCAAAATATGATGAATCAACCCAAACCACCTATATAAAATGCGTCTTTTGCCAGAGTTACAGGGTGTTTTTTTTCAGAATATTAAAATAATTTGTGCCCAGTTCTTCAAAACTGTTCATTGTCATATTGTCATATTTGGTAGAGAGTGTGAGTACTATAAACCCTAATAAATTCTGTTGAATGAACGTTTCTGGCTACTACCATAGGCGTACGACAGGGCAAGTGACCGGTTGATCCCTACCAAATTCTACGCCACTGGTGGAATCACAATTTTTCGAATCTCCAACAATTTTTACGTAGATATTGAACAATTTCTTCATATAGCGATAAAGAAATTATTTTTCTAGATATTTTAAGTTAAACATGAAGCTGCACAATTATTTGAATTTTGATGGGTACTATAATTATGTCGATGTTTTTGGATCATTGGGTTGCATTTGTCAATCAAATGAAACTTTAATCCAATTTGAGGAAGAAAAAAACATAAAAACATAACAGACAGGAGTTGCTACAGGGTGTTTTGAATTTTTGAAATATTAAATGATAAAACACCCTGTGGCAGCTCCTGTCTGTTATGTTATTATGTTTCAATTGAGGATTTGGATTGAAATTTCACTTGATTGATGAATACAACCCATAGATCCAAAATATAGACATAATAATTGATACACATCGAATTCAAAATAATTGTGCAGCTTAATGTTTAAGTTGAAATATCTCGAAAAATAATGACTATATCGTCATGTGGAAAGAGTGAAATATTTACGTAAACATTGTTGGAGAATCGAAAAATCGTGATAGAACTGCAATGTCGCCATCAGTGGTGTTGAATTTAGGAGGGATCTACCAGCCACTTGCCCTTGTCGTATAAGCTTCTGGTAGGAGCCAGAAACGTTCATTCATGATAATAGAGTGTATATAGTACTTGCAGCACTCCCCACCAAATATGACAATAATACATCGAAAAGTTTTGAAGCATTGGGTACAAATGATTTTGAAATTTCAAAATAAAACATCCTGTACGTCAGACAGGAGACACATTTCATCTACCTAGGACCTATATATAGGTGATTCAAACTGGTCGTTATACATTTTTTAAATCTCCCGATTTTTTTGACCATATAAGTCAGTACCATGCATACACAGGGAGAAAAGGCGATTGCATATCTATGCACAACATTGTGTAAGAGATGTTTGTGAAGTATTATTTAACATTTGTTCAAATATCCACTACAGTAATTTCGTGAAATGAAACAAATGTTTGTGTATATCAATTTGTGAAATATTTGTACATATCCATGTAGCGGAAAACTACACAAAAATATGCACATCATCCAATGTACAAAATTGTATTGACTAACTAACTACACCTCCTTTGAAATAATGTTACTATTTGTGTAATATTTTGCCACAGGTGTGCATTTTTCTTCCACTTGGTAACGGCGACCTATCCCCTTCTCCTTCTACCTACTTATATCCCAATCTCAATATTCTGAATTCTCACTTGACCAGCTTGACCTGTAGATGTGTTACAAGAAGGTTACAAGTGTGTATGGTGCAGAATGTAGAATCTTCTCATTTATTATTGTCTGGCGAGTTGGTGAATGATTGATGATTGTACTTAATGACCATAGGTATAGTCCTTCCGCAAAATTATTTCATGTTTACTAGTGCCACAAAGTGAAAGATGAAATAAGATGTATCAACAAAGTGTCGAAGACATTCTTCTTTGTTGGGAACTGCATGAACTCTGGTATCTACATTCGCCGGTAAGTTATTATTTTAATAATACCTAATAATAATTAGCTTCGACTTGCTTTCAATTTCAACACCCATCATTGAAAGTGAGTCGAAGCTAATAGCTAATCATTAGGTTCAATTGAAATAACTTACCGGCGAATGTTGATACTAGTTCAGGTAGTTTCCAACAAAGAATCGACACTTTGTTGATACATCTTATTCCATCTTTCACTTTTTGCCACTAGTAAACATGAAATAATTTCGCGGAAGGACTACCTATGATCATTGAGTACAATCATCAATCATTTACCAACTCGCCAGACATTAATAAATGGGAAGATTCTACAGTCTACGGAAGTACACATACTTTTGTATATCGTTACGAAATTTGTGTACAAGAAAATAAGAAATACACAATTTGTGTTATTTTCAGCACATTGAATTTTGCACAATTTTGTTATGCTAAGCTCACACACTCACACAGGCACACATATCACACAAATTGGTGATATTTTTCGAACAAAATATTGGATGATTTTATATATTTTGTGTTACGAAAGTACACAAATTTTGTTTGGTTTTTGAACAAAATTGTTTTGAAAATTACAAAACTAAATTGTTTGGTTATACACAAAATCTCTAACACAAAATATTGCGCGAAATATACACAAATTGGAGCTGTCGCACCATTTTAGGAACAAACTGTGTAAAAAATCTACACAAATGTCCTGCGAAGTAAGCTCTGTAGAAGTGTAGTATTGACATTTCTTGCTCGATTCCCGATAAACACGAAATATTAAAATCGTTCAAGCGCCCTCTACCCGCTATCATTGCACACTGGTTAGGCGGCTGCCCTGGCACGTTCATCATAACAACAAATCCGGGGAATCTCAAGATCATTCAGCGGCGTTCTATCGCAGGTTTGCTTCAAAATTTTTCAATTGAAAATCATTTTTTTCACTTACCGTCGTGCAGGAAATTGTTGTTCGTCGGCGAATTGGCTCCGTTTTGGGGTACGGGGGAGTGGACGATGATCGGTTTTCGGTCTTCTCCGGTCATAGATCCGGGCACTTGCGAATAGTCGATGTACGTCATTTCCGGTACGCAAATCGGATCGTACAAATTCGTGTTCACGATCGAGTTGCACAATGCTCGTTCCTTCTCGACATCTAAGAATAAAAACAACCGGAATTTAGTCAAAGTATATCACAAATGAAAGCCGTTATTTACCTAGATTAGGAATATGGGTTTATTTGGATTCAATTTATTTAATCGAAATAAAATTTGTTTGGGTAAAACATCGTTACTCCCAATCAAATAAATCGATTTGTTTGTGTTGAATGACAATATCATTTGAGAAGAATCGGAATTTAATAAATTCACGAACATATTTACTTGACACAAATAATATAGTATAGTTATTATTATACAAGGGGAAAAAGTTGTATATTTCAGCTCCATCAGGTTGTGTTAAGGATTATGAAGATTCTGTTCGCGGTATTATTCGTTTCACAAAAAAGTAAAGCAGTAATAATATAAAAACCACAACACTCTATCTCCAAAGATGAATGAGATATCGCGCAAAAGCATCGACCTATATAATAAGTAGATAATTCGCTGGGGAGCGACCATGCATGAGTCATGTACATACATGTCTGTAAGAAATTAATTACAGGCACATCAACGTGTCTCTAGCATCAGCTTATATACAGGGTGTATCTACATAACGCCGTGATTCCTTGTGATATTCTAGTAAATGAAGTTCATATAAACATGTGCTCCATTTTTTAGATACAGAACGTTGAAGTTTGGAGTATTAGTTGTTTTCATAGTGCCAGAATTTAGCATGGTCGGAGACTGAGAAAGGCCCAAAACTCGGCCCAAAATTTCAAAATGATTGTAATTGATGGGGTTATTGAGTAATCTCAATGGAAGTCTTGAAAACACCTACATTAAATTTGGAGTCAAATCGAATTTTTATTGTTTCCCGAAAAACTGAGCTAGATACAAAAATGACACATGGGATAAAAAGTTATTATTCAATAAATAGTTCAATCTAATAAAAATATGAAACTCTGGAAAACCGGTGGCGTACAATAATGACATAAATATAGATAAATTTACCCCCTGTGACGCCACTGGATATATCATTTCGAATCTAATTGTACCAGAAGAAGCTCCACATTATACTATTTACAAAACCACAACGTTCTATTTAAATTGATGAAAAGACAATAATTATTATTGAGTAATGAAAAGAAAACGATCTATCATGGAAATATTGATACTCTGTATCTCGGAAACGACGCAAGTTATAGGACACATGTTCATATGAACTTTATTTACTAAAATATCACTATCATGGATATTTTCGGTGTTATTTAAATACAACCTGTATTATAACCTCTAATAGAGTTATATTCGAAATACGAATTCAAAATACTCAATGAAGTCGTAAACACGGCGTCCCATGAAACACAACATGTCAATTTTCGATAGCCATACTAAGAAAGAAAAAGGAACCAAAACACTTTTGATACATAAATGCTGTTTTAAAACAGATCTGGGAAGGCAACAGCATCAATAGGTCTTGCATTGAGAAAAACAGATTCGTGTTTGCATATTTTGTACCTACTTAGTTTCAGTCATTTTTATTCACAATAAACAAGTAGCTTGCTTTATAGGAGGTCATGAATCAGAGTGCGCACGAATGCGGTTGGAATCGAAACAAAACAGTATTCAAATATCTAGTATCAAATTCTGGGCACGAATCATCACCTCAAGCCTCAAGCTATACAAATAATTTATTTATAAGCATAATATGTCATGAAAGTATACGATTTTATCTACTTTGACGCAAAAGCAACTGTTGACGTGGATGGACAAACCATCTATTATATCGTGACATGGTGGAGGCGCCATAATTTTATCGTGACAATATTCTAAGAGCCCACGGTATATTTAGTGAAAAGATTGTACAATCGAAGATAACTACTAAGGTATATCGACTGACAATTTTTACGCAACCATAATGAACGGTGATTATAAAATATACATTAGTTCCAAGAATTTGCGAAGGTACAATTTGTACCGATTGCGATATAAGAAAGTCGAGTGACTGTCTGTATTCCGCTTTGGGCACGCAACAAAACAAATGAACGAAATCTTGGCCACCTATCAAAGAAATATATAACGTTTGATCATTGGAAGAAGTAACTCAACGTGGATTGGTATAGTTCATTAGGGCTTCGCGAGACCATCAAGAGTCCAGTCTTGGTCTTGTCTTGGTCTTGATATATACAAGACCAAGACTTAATAAATCTTCCCAAAACCAAGACCAAAACTTGACTCCCGAGACCAAGACCAAAACTCTCTTCCAAAAGTTTTGGTGTTGGTCACGAAAAAAAAAATAATGAACTTAAATCTACTCAATATTAAGGAAAGTCTGATGGAAAATGAAATGTCATTTTATTTCAGTTATTCATTTGTCATAATTATTATGATATGTTTATAATTTTTGTTCACTCAAAATCCGGAATACATTTTGCCAATTCAGTATTGCAGTTTTAAAGTTTACAACAAATAGATGTATGTGGTCCATACCTCCTCCTATTCAAGATATAGAAATAAATTTAATGTACAACAGTAATTTGGTTTGAATTTGAATATTTTTGAGATTTTTTGATGATGGTGTTCTTCTTAAATTTCTGGAGGTTATATGCCTCGGGAAACACCTCCCTTGGAATGTGTTCCAGAGCCTCGCTGTTCGTTGGATGAACGAGTCTTTGGAAAGAGGTAGGTCTCCAAAGTGATCACGAAGGGATGCGAAGCCTCAACTCGACGGGTTAATCTCGCGGAGACTGCCAAGGGTGGAACAATTGTTGATATTTCAGAAGAGCATAGTCCATGAAAATATCTATAAAATAGAGCCAGATCGCCAACTTTTCCACGGTGTTCCAGAGAAGTGAGTGAGTTTGTTAGCGAGGCATCACCCACGAGACGAATTACCCTTTTTTGGACAGAATCCAACAGTTTCAGGGTATTTTTGATGGGAGCTGAAGCTGCACTCCAAATATAGGAGCATCATGAGCAGCTGACTGAAAGTGGAATAGTTCCTGGCCCGAAACAGAAAACTGAGTTTTTGGGATGCACTTTTAGCAATTGATCTCACGTGATTTTCCCAAGAAAGGTTATTGCTGATAGTGATGCCAAGCATCGAAATGGATGTCTTCAAAGGTATGGTTACTCCAAACAAGCTTATGTTGGGCACAGTGAGATCGGCTTTTCTAGAGAAAAGGCATGCTTGTGTTTTGTTTGCATTGAAATCTACCAAGTTATTGGATCCCCCCCCATTCAAGAATTATTGTTGCCAAGTCTATATTTATGTTGTCAACATTTGTCCCTCGTTCGTTTCTCATTTGCCTGGCTGGTATTCGAGCCCTGGAAGAGAAGTCGGTATGGAGGGTATACTATCATCCGCGAAGCTGTGTACTGGACATGAAGAAAGCAATCATTGCGTCTATCTCCTAGGTCAATACCGGTTTTTTCTAGAACTTTGAACAAATTATCGGCTGATTATGGGCTTATATAAGCCCGGATCATCTGCTCTAAGCATAGTCCTATCTGTCCCTTCCACTAGGAGCAACAGGTTCTAAATGCTTCAAAGTACAAACACATATCATCCGCGAAGCTGTGTACTAGACATGTTGTAAGTAAGCAATCATTGCATCTATCTCCTAGGTCAATACTGGTTTGTTCTAGAACTTTGAACAAATTATCGGCTGATTATGGGCTTATATAAGCCCGGATCATCTGCTCTAAGCATAGTCCTATCTGTCCCTTCCACTAGGAGCAACAGGTTCTAAATGCTTCAAAGTACAAACACACAGAGGCGAGCGTTGGTACATCAGGTATGTCGAAAATATATAATTAAAAAGATCGGTATAGATAGGTAAAACGTGGCAAGATTCGACCACTCGATTTTAAGAACATCGCCAATTTAGCAACGAAGCATGATATTGATTGTTCCACTTGAATGAACCCTGTATATCTGAAGTACTTCCACCTCTGAGTCAAGAATGAGTACATTTCGTTCTTACCTTTCTGCAGTAATTCGAGATGCTCCCACAAGATGTCGCCGACGAACGCTGGCGCTCGTGCGGAAAAGGCCTCTTTGCCCATGCCGCACATGTCTTTGCCTTTCATCCTGAACTGGTTCAACGGAATGCAGTCTAGAGAGAACTCTTTGGCCGCCCATTGCAGCCAATGGGCCACGTGATTTTCCGACCACTGTCTGGGATCTGAAACAGAAGGAAATACCGGTCATTAGAATGGTAGGTTTTTTATTTTGCTTCGAACAACTCTATACCAAAACTCATTTGTTTATATAGATACGGCAATTCTATATGCAATTCTCTGCCTGGGAAAGTATTCTCAAGAATTTACAGCCAGCCGCAACATATTGAAAAAGTCCAATACATATTATGACTCCCCCTTCCTACCCATCTCATGTATACGCATAATGATCTACTAACATAATATAAAGATTCCATTTTTTGCGTCCCAAAAAATGAACTAGTAAATAAATACGTATTGCAACAACTATACTTTTAACATCTTTCTATTACGATAGGCAACTTTATATTCTTAAACGAGATGAATGAATGATGAATAGTTTCGACACAAAAAAATGCTTAAGTTGAAAAATCTCGATTTTGAACAACCTTTAGCTCTGTAATCAGTGCCGCTAGATCTCAAGTGTGATGCATTGATGAAATCAGCTCTTTGGGGAGAATCTAAAAATGCAATGAAATACAACAAAGTTGTTGCTACTTTTCGTTAGAAATGGCAACGCCGCAGAGCTTAAAATAATTTTGAACGATGTCCCCTTCGAAAATGTAGTTGACGTGCGTTTAAGATTTTTTCATAATCCGGTTTTGGCGACCTACAGAGCCTCTGTTTCGTTTTCAAAGGGCCACCCCGTATATACATCCATTTTTTTCATGTTCATAATATATCTGAAAATATTCCTTTTCAATACTTTCACACCCAATCAAGGGGTTAAAACTTGATGGATGAACGATATAAACTTATTTTTATATAGACATCTAATCACAGATTCGTGATTGGGATTTTTCTCAATTCAGAATTTTGTTTCCAGCACGCCCTGTATGATGAAAAATAATTTGTCATATAACCAAACACTATGATTTTGCTAAATATCTTGAGAACTGCTCAAAATCGAGCTGTAAATATCGAGAATTTAATTGACCCCCTTTGACAAAGACAGATCTGTGCCTATACTGACTTGACAAATCAATGGTACAAGTCCATGTTTGCTCTAAGTGGAGTGGAACTTTTGAAAGGGAAAGAAAGCCCTTGTTTCCTGATTTTCTTTCCTTTTGAAAATTTGAAATTCGTAACAGAAAAAAAATGCAAGAGTGGTTCTGGAGGCAAACCTAGGCCCAGCGGGTAATATGGCCCAATATTGACATTTCGGAAACTTGGGTACTTATGAGCAATCTGGCAATGCCGGCTCTTTACGCATGCCTGACGTTCCCAACGGTTCATTTCGCACGCCGCTTCTACAAATTTTCTGCAATTTCTAGCCAGTTGAGAACAAGCCGTTGCATGGTGTTCACGCTGATGTAATATTTTGGGTTAGGTTTAAGTCCACGTACCTCCCATCTCATATATAGCAGCAAGCTGGGATATTTTCAAGGTAAATTAGTATATTGTTAGCTATTTTGAATGGGTTCTAGAATTCGGCTCTCTTTATTAAACATAACCTTTTCTTAGAAATACATTTCGTTTAATATGGCCCAATACAACGGTGGGTTGCATGGTCCATGGGCCATAATACCTGACAGCGGGCCATATTAACCATCACCAACGAGTTAATTGAGAAAAAATAGATTTTATAACTTCTAATCAATGTTTCAGCTTCCTAATGGGTAAAATTTGTCTCCACATAAATCAGTTGAGACGTTAAATGACATCCTTCCGACTGCTGAAGCTGAAAAGAAAGAGACAACCATTCGTCGAAAATCTTTGAATTACAAGGCACAACAGGTTACAAAAGATCTTTAGAAATAATGATTTGTCATCCTTTTCAAAGCCCTTGACTCCATCAATATTAAAGCAGAAAAACAAATTAGCCAAGTCTATCTCAAGCATTGAGTCTACTTCAAAAGATCGGTCTACTTCTGAACGAATAATTGAAGAGTCTTGATTTTGTGGTTGTCACACAGAAGACAAATTGGATAGAAGAAGATGTGTATTTTTTCATAAATTTCAAAGTGTTTTTTTTTTATTGTTACCGCCGTTAATTTACTTACTTCCGTATGTTTGCAAATGCTGATAACTATAGAAATTAAAAAACTTATTTATAAATTTTCGATCCAGAGTCGATGCAAAAAAAATCAGTTCACGAAGGTTCGGGATTTCCATACGGAATTCGTCAAGTTCGATGCAAAGAACTCGCCTCTGTAGAGCGAAAATAGTTTGCTAGGTGTCAAAGCATTATATCATCATTCATTCAAAAAACGGAATTGTGCTGGCAAAAATGTTCGGTGCATTGAAAATTCATACATCCAGCTTTAATTAAAACTGCCTCTAGACCATTGAACCATGATGAGTGTATCACAGTTGACAACCCTGTGTCCAAGCAAAAATGTCATCGACACATCAAACACATGACACGAAACATGTAATAAATCCTGGGAATAAAAGGCGATATGTCATTAAATCAGGTGATTTCACAAAAGTTTATTTAAAACGGATGCTGCATCGTTACACTTTGCTGATTTTCAATGGGGACGGAAACTTTCGCTGACCCGCGCTTATCTGATTGTTTCCGGTCGGTCTTTGTCTCTGGCCGTTTTTCCCCCATATCATGGTTCCCCTCGTCCCCCTGGCTGTCCGAAACCATTCCATCCGTACCATATTGTGCTATACAAACGCACAGAAACGCGTTGGTATGTATATAGGATCTGTATAGATAGGTCAAACGTGGTAATAATCGACCACTCTATTTCAAGAACATTACAATAATAAAATTCTTGCTACAGCAGATGATATATCAGCAGATGATATACCCACCGATGCATGATAATATTCATTTTTTTACTTCAGAAAATGACCAATAAATGTGAGGGAATAAAATATCATCAGTTGAGACAAATAAAATGAGAGACTGCTATAATGTAAGTAAAACATTGAGTGCATTGGGATGTAAACAAATTCAAAAATGGTAAGTTGCTTTGTCAGTAATCCCACTTGGAGGGGGAAGTATGAACAAGTAGTGTGCTTAATATAACAAGAAGATCTCTCAACCATTTCACTTTTCTTGGAAAAAATGTCTCAACCTGTATAAAGTGTATCGACTGACCATTCACTGAACTAGAGTGTATAAGTGAGTGAGATCGATCATCAAGGCACACGATAATGACAAGGATGGTAAATGATGAGTGGTGGTAAAACAGACGCTTACATTTTCTGAATCAAATGTCACCTTAAAAATCTGAAACGACATTTTCTGCATAGTAATTATTTTCTGAATTCCATATTTCAACTATACAGGGTGTTCCTAAAAAGTCTTCACAAAAAATGATTACATATTCCTCAGACCTAAACAATTCCATACAAGCAAACTTTCCAGAGTACAGAGTTGCTTAGTTTGGACGTTTGGACGCTTTAGACGGTCTGACGTTACAACTTTATTTTATTTACTTCATATATAACTTTGAAACGACTCATGAGATTCCACACAATTGACTTTATCTTTGGACTTTCCCTTCCTCCTGCAAATTCTAGAACCCTATATACCTCAATAATCACGTGAGATACGGGGGTGCTTACATGAAAAGTGAGACAAAATTTAATTTTTCTGAACTGAAAATTTTCTACGAAAATTATGAATAGTTAGTGAATTGGGGTCCTGATTCCGAATCCAAAGTGATTTTCAACCTATTTTGACACCTTATATCATTTTCCGGAAATTGGGGTGGTTCCATGGTTGTTGGCGAGCAGTGTATATCACTGAAGATGACTCCACTTGGTCATAGAGTGCATTTTTGGTATATCTCTCGCTCCAGCTAATTTCAGGATCCTTACCCCACCATTGAGTAATATACAGGGGTATTTCCATTAGAAGTGGGTCACACTGTATATTCATCATGCTTGTACCAATTTTTTTCGTCGAATAAATCTTTGTTTACTTGAAATTGATGAACATTTTCAACAATTTTCATAACAGAATTATTATCTGTTACTCGTTTTGATGTCAATTGATGCTTTGAATTACTAAAATTCCAGTTTTGTCGAAACCATGAGAGTATATTAGAATTTTATCAGGGGTACCTATTTTGTAGTAAAAAAGTTACGCAATCCGAATGTCATAATCGTGATGTGGGATTTAGTACCCAAGAAAGCTACACCAACCTACCCAATTTGAGTATAATCTCCAGAGCCGTGTCAAAATGAAGCAAAACATTTTTTGAAAATTGCAACTTCAGAGCCGTCTTGCGCCCAAACTGAGCAACTTTATGCTTATACGTATATATCAAAAAGTGTGTTCGGGATCGGGAAGACGTACTTGTTTCACGTCAATAATGTAAACTCTTCACGTTCAACAGATGATATTTGGTATAGAATGTTTCAACTAGTAGAATAACATTTTTTCAAATAGAAACTTATATTACTCTATTTTCCTCGGGAAAGATCTGCCTTTAACGATTTCATCAGTCGAATCTTCACGGTTGGCGGTTAAAATTACCCGCCATTTTCGAATCGCGTTGGGGATTTTAGGATGTTCCACCAATTGTTCTTTTCCTATTACGATTTCTCAATCCACCGAGATACGGATCGCCTATTGTTCTGCAATTTGTTTCAACGGTGAACGGAGTCTAATTGAACCTTTTTAGTCGATCGTTAAATTTGAAGAAACAGTTTCATTGTTCTCTCGTTCCCTGATCGACACATGTACCAGATAAATCGAAGAGAAAAAAAAACGACTCTGGAATGAGTCGAGAACAGTGTGAAAGGCCGGATGATTAGAAAAAACAGACAATCCAAAATTAGTCGAAGATGTTTTTCTCGAGATTGTGTTGCTATCGCCTTATAATTTCTGTTCATACATCTGTAAATACTGTAGATGGATAATTGGATGTTGGTGTATCGTACGACATAATGATGGCAACGAGCATCTAGTAATGATCTCCAAACACGGAATCTATCTGAGTTTTGTTGTCAGGTCGACAAATTGGCCATTGACAGTGTATATAAGGTCAATGTTGATCTATGACCAGACACGTTCACTTCAGAAAGAAAATATCAAATTATATGACGGAAAGATGATGTTGACAATGTGTCTTCCATCGATCGGCTGTATATCGACGATCATCTCACGTAGTGACGTATCTCGCAGTTTTCTTAATTTTACAGCAGAGCAGTTCAAAGATTTTCAACATCTTAATACGCTTATATTTCAGAGGTTAGTTCGTGAAAGATCATTCTTTTTTCATTCATTAGTGGAAAGAACGAGAACTAGTTGTTATATGATATGGTGAAATTTCCAAAAACCATCGCTCGAAGCGAGAAAGAAAAGTTTGCTAGATACGTCAATACGTGAGATCATGTTTGTTATTGTGGTCTTAGATACGCCCATGAATATGAAGTTAAATCAAATGAATAACAGATCCAAACATTCATTTTTATTGATAAAAACTCAAAAATTCATTCGACTTGTACAATACCTTACAATACTCCTTTCAGTACCTTGAGACGTCACCCGAGATATTTTAAATTCCTCCGAAAACCCGATGTGAGATACGTCACTGTTGAAATTTTCAACAAATAATAAAAATATATCTCACGTAATGACGTAACTCCTATAGTTAGGTCACTTCGTGAGATTTGGTAGTTCAATAATTTGAGATAGGCTGAGTATTCGATATTTAAACAGACGAAAACCATTGAATATTGAGTTACGCCACTTTGTGCGATCATAGAGTACAAGAATATGAGTCACTTGACGGAGTATCTCAAATTCCGATTTTTATGAGATACGTCATTACGTGAGATGACCCACGTATGTATACCGGGTGTCAACGAATCTATTAGACAAGTCATAACTTCTAGACCATTAGGTGTATCAAAATAAGATTTGGTATAGGTAGATGGTATGTGAAGAGGAGAGTTTTCACATATTTTTCACTTTCCGGTCACTTCCGGCTTCACCGAAAATGGCTCCGGTTCTAAATTTTTAAATGGAACACCCTGTATATTGTAACATCTTTGGATTTCCGAGACAATTGTAGATAAGAATGTGACATTTTCGAAAGTTTCTAAGGCTACTTGATTCTTTCGGAGTCACTTTTGAAATTACATCTAGGTGGCCACGATGGAAAGTAAACTAATCTATAAGGACCTCAGGTGATATCAGAAAATTACAATCGCGAAGCTTTAGTGACAAGTATGATAGATATGAATGAGACAAGTTGGCAAAATTACATTTTCGTGTCTAACTATTATTTTTTAAATGGCGACCATTTTTTGACAAGCACTTTCCGAAAAAAGGATATTTTGACGAATCTAACGATATACTAATTTATTTGCGATTGGATTACAAGAAAGAACATGAATTAAATATTACTGGCGAAAATACTTCATAATAATTTATCTACTTTTGTCAAGTGTGCCATGGATAATGATTCATTTACATTCGTAAGCACTTCCCGAAAAAAGGATATTTTGACGAATCTATAACGATACTAATTTATTTGCGATTGGATCATTGAATTTAACAAATGTAACAATAACTCCAGCGATGCACTTACATTTTTTCAATTTCCTAATTTCTTAAAATTTTCACTATAGTAAATTTTCAAAGTGCATTCCTCCTTGAAGATTCCACCCGAACTAACATACATGCATCCATACATACATTGCAAGTCAAATAAAAACTGTTAATTAAAAAAATAATCCTCTTGACATCAATTGATATTTATAATGATGAAAAACGTCGAACAAAAATTCAGTAGCACATGGGCCGCATCACATAGTAAGTAGATATAATTAGTCCGGGTGAACGTGAACACGGTCGATATATGGACCCCAATTAGGGCGGTTTGATTTGTTGGTATATACCGATCGCGGCTCCATTGCCTGTCGAAGGATTCCTCAACAACGATAAATCGATGTGATAAGGGGTGATTAGTTTGAGAGGAGCGCCGACAGTGACGGAATTTTTCCTAATTTGTATCTATAAGGTCAAATAAAAACAAATATCGTTACCATCAACATAACATAAGAATCTCAGATATTTCACTTCGAATGCATGCATATACATTTGACTTTGACCCATGTATATACCCAGTATAATGATCTTTAAAAGAATGCGAGGAATCATTTATTATTTAGTGGATTGTCCCCACCAATAAAAAAATACAGGGTGTTTCAAAAAAAGGTAGCTCCGTTGATATACAGGGTGTCTCAGGTTTAACTCGTCTATAACTTTGACAATCGATAGCAAAAATGAAAGTACTAGATACGTACCTTTTTTTTTGTCGTGGAGAAACTTGTTTTCATTATATGTTAATGGGTGCTAATGTTTTTGGTTTGTATTTTTTATCTCAGTTGAAATGAAACCTTTCTTTCGGCAATATATGAACAGTCCTTATCGATAGAGGGGACCCAGCTGAACTGGGTGTTATTTTTTTTCGAGCCCTCTGACATGGAGCCCATCAGATTTTTTTATTGTGACGTTGTAGTGAATTGAACCTAATGGAGAATCATAATCATTTCTTCACGTCACTTTTGAGTTTTTCATTTGTTTCCATATCTTCCTCAGTTCACGAGTTATTGAGAAAATCGTATCATTAATTATTGTTAAATATTGAAAATGATGTTATGCATAGTATATAACATCAT